GTCATTGTAGGAATAGCGGATATAATGGGACGTAAGTTTGGGTCAGAGAAGATACCTTACAATCCAAGAAAGAGTTGGGCGGGAAGCATCTCCATGTTCCTCTTCGGCTTCTTAATATCCATCGGGTAAAAAAACCAACAAAAACACACAATTATTCATCAAAATGTCATATTCTTGATATACAAAACTAATCAAACTGAGATGATTTGCAAATTGCAACTAAAACCGAAAGTGTGTTTGTCTTTTCTAATTTGCAGATTACTTTACTATTACTCAAGCCTTGGTTACCTTCATTTGAATTGGGAAACGACTTTCCAGAGAGTCGCTATGGTCTCAATGGTCGCAACCGTGGTCGAGTCGCTTCCCATTACCGATCAATTAGATGACAATGTTTCGGTTCCTCTAGCTACTATTTTAGCTGCTTACGTAAGTTTCAGATATTAGATTCATTATACCTCGTTAAACCAAAAAATATATAAATGAATCCGACTTACGATTGTAGTCGCTAATATGTTACATAGCAAACGAAAAGATTGTCAAGACGATTAATCTCTTCGAGGACTACTCCATGAAGAACCAACACATCCCGCGCGTCACTGAGATAATAAATCCCTCCGTCGTCAGTCAAAACTTCTGGACCAACTAGGTCTATCAACTCTTGGATAGAGAGTTGTCGGTCCCCAAACTCTTCGTTGATGGGTCTCGAGTGTAGCAAGCTCGACCGAAGTTGGACAATAAACAGCCTATGAAACAAGATAACATAGGAACAAACAAAAAGAAAGCTTGAAGATAAGTATAAAACAAGATTAAAAAAAACAGTTGCTGAAATTAACAAGGAGACTTACATTGCCTTCAATGTTCCAAAAGCTTTCAAATAAAGGAATAGTAGCGGCAACAGGAGAATGGAGAAGCAATTGTGCCAAAAGATCTTCAATCTCAACACCATCGATATCATCAAGAGGTTCAATTGGATAAACTTCCATCTCTCTTAACCTAAACACCTCATTCAGCATCCTATATTAACAATATAAAGATGATTCTTAACAATGGATCTGAAACAAGAAAGGTTGATGAACAATAGAAAGATGATTCATAATAATGGATCCGAAACAAAAAACGAGGAATGTGTGATGAAGAATACGATTCGGCTGATTATCTTTGATGGGAATGTAATACTAGATTTCTTTACTTACGTAAAATCTAAAAATTCTTATTTGTTTATTTTTTCAAATTTTCAATTTTTTCACCTCATGTATTATCATTGTTCAAATCCATAGTCAGTATATTAACCTTAATTATACTTTTGATTTTGAAATCAATTAAATTATTAGACAAAAAAATCCACAATCAACATTTGATTAAATATGTGTTACTGTAAATGACAAATGAAAAACATGTTTGAGTGAAACTATAATCAAATATGATTTTCTTATGTTGCACATATTTTGCATCACCTTGTTATAAGGGAATATAATTAATTAGTTAAGGTTGTTCCTGATGAAGCAGTTGAATTTGTTTGAGAACATGATTATCCCTTGGATTATATTGATCATACAAAATGCCTCGACTTAATTATTTGTCGTAGAACTGCAAACATTTTTGTCTTACCTATTGATTGTGTTGAAGAAATCCCTAATTTTTTTGTTCAATAATACGTTGTTTATATAAGTCTATAACTCGAAATCTAATCAAAAACAAAATTAAACTTCCTTCATGTGTCGGCGAACAAGAATCTATGGACAAAAAAGGAAATTTGTTCCCTCTTGAATATTGGGTCGTTGGAGAAACAAGATTGTGATTACATTTAAAAAATGTTGGGTCGTGACGTTGGAGATCTGCATCGTAATTATTCAGTTACGACCAAAAAATCTAAGGTAAGTGCTTGGAAAGAAGACGAAGACGTATTGCTCATGTCTTTAACCGAGTTTCAGAGTAAGAATCAGTGCACTCTCAATCGTGTAGCAATGTGCTTAAAAAGAAAAAGAAATGATGTGTCGTGGTGACGGTAATATTTCTTATCTATTAATCTTCTTGTTTTTGGTTACACATTGGAATCTAAAGCCACTCGAAAGAACGCATTTTCGTCGTCTATTATCAATGTTTGTTGTTTGATATGTGATGTAGATAGACTAGTAATACGTTGATTTTAGGATTACCAGAGAATCATTCTTATCATTCTTATCATTATTTTAAACTAGTTCAAATATGATAACTACTATAGTTCTTTCTTTGTCAACTTTAACTATCATACTCTTATTACATATAAATAAGCAAAATGCATAGATATGTTAATTGTGTCATTGTAGGAATGGCTGATATAATGGGACGTAAGTTTGGTTCAGAGAAGATACCTTACAACCCAAGAAAGAGTTGGGCGGGAAGCATTTTCATGTTCATCTTCGGCTTCTTGATATCAATCGGGTAAAAACAAAAAACAAAAAACACACAATTAGTCATCAAAATGTCATATTTTTTATATACAACTCTAATCAAATTGAGATGATTTGCAAATTGCAACTAAAACCGAAAACATTTTTGTCTTTTGTAATTTGCAGATTACTTTACTATTACTCAAGCCTTGGTTACCTTCATATGAATTGGAAAACGACCTTCCAGAGTCGCTATGGTCTTAGTGGTCGTAACAGTGGTCGAGTCGTTTCCCATCACCGATCAGTTAGATGACAATGTTTCGGTTCCTCTAGCTACTATTTTAGCTGCTTATGTAAGTTTTGGATACTAGATTCATTATACCCTCATAAACCAAAAATATATATATATATGAATCCGACCCACAAATGTAGTCACCGATATGTTACTAGTTTGTATAGATTTGACCTTTGCGCCATTAACATTGCATTAGGTTAGTTAAAATTGTTATACAGACAACAAAATGGACCATGAGAGAAATTTGGGACATTGTATGATGTTTTGAAAGCATATGGAGTTTTGGAAAACTATAGGGGTAATATTGGGACTTTATCAAGAAACTATATATAGGGTATTAACGTAGCGTATCCAAAATTGAGAAAAAGTTACCTCTCTAACGACAACTATGATAGGTTGGCATTTATGTACTGTTGACAATATTTACGGTGTTTAAGGGATGTTCTCCGATTTTGTGTAAAAAATAGTAGTATATTTTTGAGGAAATTTTATTTAAAGAAATCAAATGCAAATATAGAAAACCTGTGTTGAAATCTTTTCAATTGTGCATGAAATCTAAAACAAACAACTGATGCATGTATCGATGTTCAAACTCCAAATCAATTATTATTACTTATTGGTCAACCTCCAAACCAACGAATAAATCATAATAATTGATTCTAATTCGTAGTGGAATCCATGAATTAAGTTTCTTGCGGAAACCATCAACAAAATACGAGACAGTCAAAGCAAAGATATTTTACCAATAGATGAATTCATTTTTTTCAAAAATGCAAAAAAAATCAAAGTTTATGTTTCCAAGTGAGATTAGGTTGTACCATAGTATATTATAGTATTAAGGTCGCGTATTATGTAATCTAAGTAAATATTATAATGATGTATTTTTGTAATTTTTTTCTATTTTGAATCGGATGTTGCAAGTAACATTATGTATAATAAGATGAGTAACAAAGGAAAAACATCTAAATTCCCTACGAAATATCTTATATCTTGCCCACCTATATCGAAATCCTTCTAACTCAAGATAATAGATCCAAATCCTTTTGTAACCA